ATTTCTGAGCATTTTCATGCATATTTCAGGCTCCTTTGAGCCAATACCCCTGATCTGGGTATCATTGGAAAGATCTTTTCCTCCTGTGTAACTTGAGTTTAGATGATGCCAGTTTTGGTCAAAGGTGATGACATCAGGAAGTAGAACAAAGGCCAACGCTTTTCACGGTCCGTTATGGACAGCACAGGACTCAGTCAATTGGTTAATAGAACTACATGTTTTACCGAGAATTGACAGGCATCCACTAGTGTGAATTTACAATTCTTAGCTTCTTTTAAAAGAGGATGTTGGTTTACATTATTTAGCCTGAATTTCAGCCACCTCCTCCCTTTGCTTTCTAATAAATTTAAAAATAGCTATTGCCTTAGTATGAACCCTGTAGAGAGCTCTCTACAGCAGACATGCTTGGCTTTCTATCAGGTGTGTCACCAAAGTGAACAAACTAGCATAATTTAAATCAGGTTTGACAGTGTACTGTTCCCTTGAAAGGAAAACGTATCCTCTCCTCCACTCCAAACCCAGTAAAATGCTGGAAAGTATTATTTAATTCTTTTTTTTTTTTACATATTTGATGAATGATCTTTTTTTATGAATACTCTTGACAACACTGGAAAATTTCAGTAATGTGAGCATTAAGCGAGACACGCTAAGAAACTGTTCAGAAAATCCGCCAAGTAAATGCTGATTTTAATATACGTGTTTTAAGACATCCGTACATGTTTGTGAAGAGAACAAAAAGCACAAGTGTTGTGGTATCTAGGTATCTGAATCCCGAGAAAAGTTACATTTTGAGATTATTGAAGGAAATCGAATCTATGTGTGCGAATACTTTGTTTATACGAACAAGAATGAACAAAAGACTTTTAGATACAGATAAAGGGTACATATTATGAATAAAATTAACATGTCGGGCTGAGCGACATGATAAAGCCAGTCAAACTCATGGAGTCGACATCTGTGCGGGGATACGTATAAAGATTTGCTTCAGAACAGAATGACTAAATTGATAGAGATATTCGTTAAAACAGGAGCAGTCGGAATTTTGAACAGTTGTTATTTAAAAACATCCTGCACAAAATGAAGTTCAAAATTAGTATGCAAAAATATTTTATTTTGTTCCTCATGAGTGCCCACTTTGCAATAAGGACGAAACGAAAATATTTCGCTTGGTATTCAACTTGTGACAAATCACTTAAAAAAGAAATTTTAAAACACGGGAAAATTTCTGTTAAATTTCGCTCAAAAGGTTTTTCACTGGCAAAAAGAAAACGAAAGATTACTATTTTTCGAGTAGGCGGGAAGCGTATTCAAATTAAGTCGAACCAGGTTAATCAAAATCAAACCCTTCGTTCTTTACTAGTATAATTTTCCAAATGTATCTCAAAACTGACTTATACAAGCCAACCAAGGCTACTGTCAGCACTATGGAGTGTTGTAATGAGTTATCGACAAAGTAAAATTCAATTTGAACCCAATTTTAACGTTGTGAAGTCTCGACCGGTGACCACAGAATGGTCAACGAGATGGATCAAGAAATAGGAGGCAGACAGAGATCGGGGTCAATCAAACATTGAGAGAAAAAAAAACTTCCTTACAATAATTCCAATAATCTCGTTTCTACTTACATCGATTGCAGTATTCGCCAATTCCACAGTCAGCCCCAGATGAACAGGCTAAAGGAAGCAAGGGGAAGAAAAATGAGTCGATTTCTCACGCTTTGAAGAGCGTTCTCGAATCTCTGATCAATCACACCGAGGCGAGCACCTGATCATGAAGGGAAAACTTACCGACCGCCGGCGATTCCCTAAGATGTCCATAGTCAAGAAAAAAACAGAACAAGAGAAGTATGTACTTCAGATTTTTAGAATCCATGGGCTTGCCATGGATTTCGATAAGGAGAAAAAAGTTTCAAAGGTAGACAACGCTATGATCTATGTAACGCTTCGCCATCTTCTCCCACTCGGCCATCAACAACAGAAGTACGATTAAGTCCCCGGATGTTTATTTGTTGTCGGAAGTTGTCGATCATGTATTGTTCATACGACCAATCAGAACGCAGTAAATCTCGTTTGCAGGTCGACCATCTGTACATTTGACGCAACGACGCGGAAAAATGAATAAAAATTGCTTCTTTTTGTTGTCTTCGTACATGTTCGATGCCAATTCTTGTTCTTTCAAACTTGATTTTAAGCGTGATTTTGTTTCTCGTACAAATTATCTCGGGCAATTCACATTCGAAAATTACGCTCAACTTGGTGTTTTAAAACAGTAAGTAGACAACACGTCATCCTATGGTTATGACAAGATAAAATCAAACTACATAAATATTTTTGGTTATAACTTCGTTTGGATTTTTTCCCTCACTTTCAGATATTTTTTTTTCTCGAGAATTAGAAAGAAAAGAAAACTCGATAACCTGGAACAAAATAATTCGTTTATGTTTCTTGACACCCACGCATTCACCAAATAATTGACGTTCGCATACATTCAAGGAATTCTTTTATTTACTCACCCATGAACAATATTTCTCCTTGATTGAACACCACAATTTTTCCTTTTTACGGCAAAAAATAAATGAATCAATCAATAAATAAATAAAACCATACCTCACAAGTTGAAGCGGTATTTTCATAATACACGTATTCTTATTTTTATATTTCTTGCCCACGCAAAGACGCGCGCGCTCGTAACTAGCATGTTCATGCGCGGACGCCCACGCGTCTTTTCCTCCTTGACGTGGATTGATCTTCACACACTTCATACGTTACCAGCATCTGGAATTTTTCGTTAATTAAACCAAATCAGAACTTGAAGAAAAACTCTCAAGGCATGGACCAAACAGCAAAAGTAAAATAGATTACTTTCGCCGAAAATTAAGAACAGTTTTACAGAAATGTTCCCATTCTAAAGCAATTTCGACACGGATTATTTTGTGCCGTTTTTCCAATAAAGTATTATCGGCATTTTTCCGCCCTTATCAGATATCATGGGTTCTCACCATTTTTCGGAATAAACCAGTTGGGATGACTGTTGAATTATGGTAAGGTCAGCAAACCAACCGAACAGGTTGCAATTGGGAAAGACTGGAAACTGGGGAATTCAGAAATGGTAAGGAAATTTCCGCCGTTCCGTTCCGTCCCGTCCCGAACGGAAAAAGAGGATTACCTCTGGAGGTAGTTTTCCGGAAAATTACTGTTTCATTTGATTTTCTACCGAAATTTCCGCATTTTTTTGCTAAATGGTAAGTACCCCATGCTTCAAGAAATACTGAATCAAGTGATTAACATGTAGAAAAAATAATTGAAATTTATTGAAGGACTGGTTGGAATGGACGAAAATAATAAAATTTTCTTCCGCTCAGTTCTTTAAATTTTTGCGCAT